GGGGGGGGGGGGTGGTGCCGGCTAAATCTTCAGATCTCCAGCAGGCCTGCATGTGAAGGTCGTGCTTCTCCGCTGCAAGATCCAGGCACGACTTGCCCTCTTGGTTGCGTGCCTGGATAGGGCCGGATGCATCCCTCTGCCCTGAGGTCAGGAACCACTGAAAGCCTTACTTTGCCCTGAGACTCCCTTGAGATGTGGTCTTGCGTGAGGCATCTCTGAGAAGCAAGGTCCTTAAGGTAATGTAGGATTTAGATCCTCAGCTGTATTGAGGCTCCTTCCCTTCGCCTTCAAATGCCCTCATTTCAGCCTGGATGTCGGACTTCTGCTCCACCAGGAACTCCACGACGCCAGACTGGCAAGGCAGGCGCGAGGGACGCTGTTGAGGACTATAACATGTCAAAATCAGCCTCACAGGTCTGGATGCAAACAGCTTCGGAGTTTTTGGGTTCAGAGACTAAGCGCTTACTCCCGTCGCCAGCAGGCTTTGGGGCTCATGCTTGTTGAGGTTTTTTTTTTTGTTGAGGGCCTTTTTCCGAGGGTTAAGGGTTTAGGGGGATTTTGTATCCCCTATGTCTGGGTCTTGAGGTGAGAGCTGCGAGCTGTCTCGGCTTTGTGGTTGATGGGCTCGGGACCTTCTTTTCCCAGGCCTTCTGTGCGACTCGAAACACCCCTTGGACCACTACCGACTCCCGGCACCTGTGAAGCACACACTGCGCGATGCAAGGGCAGCCTTGGCGCACGCTTTTCACATCACTAGCATACACTAAGCTAGTGAATCTAAGGAATACCATATTATAGTATGGTGTTAAAGGTGCTGCCGGGGCTACTCAAGGACCGTTCCAGCGTTCAGCAAGGTCTTCATTCAGAGCACCACGGCACGGAGGCTTCTAGTTTCAACTGAACGTTCTCCCTCGCACTTTTGCTGCCTCCTGGGCCTTTGGCGTAAGGTAGGGCCAGGGTTTGGGGTATATTGTACTATAATTATAGTAAGGACCCCCCCCCCTTCCAAAAAAAAAAAGAAGAAAAAAGTATTGGTAGTTATTTAGGCCCCGATAGTAGTGCCATTTCGCAGGGTCGCGATATGTTGCGACACACGAGGATACAGTGTCATCTCTGGGCTCTAGACCCTTCGTTGTTGACTTCATAAGGAAAAAACATGTCTACACTTTCAGGTTCGTAAGGAATCCTATTATCCAAAAAAGTTTAAAAGTGTACTCATTCAGCTACGAATTAAGGACCAAGGTGCCTCCTCTGAACCACAGTCCCAGAATCCTAAAGTTCCTCTGCCGACCTTTTGGAAACCAAGAAGAAAACCCGAAAACCACATGGAAAGCACGACCACTGCAAGAATACATACAGGCAAAAATATCCCCCACAGAGTCAGCCATCCCAGTTAGGGAAGGACTATGCTCAACTGGACTATGCTCAACTGAACCATCATCGCCGCAGACATTTCGAGAAGACCATGCTTCAGTCGAACAGGCCTCTTTGCTTAACGGATGGGCTGTGACAGAAACCTTTCGCTCGCTCGACTGGCTCGAAGGCCAGGGTGCATCTCTGACCCCCGAACGGCAGTGTAAGACACCTCTAGAACGATCTCAGTTTGGGGGAGCCTGCACCGCTCTTCCCCACCCCTACCCGCACCTCAGATCGCCCAACACCTCAACTTAAGGTCTTATCACCGCAGTGCGAGCGAAGGGCATCTTTGCGCTGTCCAGCGCTTGGAGATCGGCCTGGTGGGAATGGAGCTTTCCCCCTTCATGTTCAGAGTTCCAATGGGGAGAAGTGACTGCCGCGCCTCGAACGCTTCATGAGGGATCCGAGGGACGGCATTTGGGAGATGAAATAATATCCAGCGTCGGGTGTTTCAATGCTTCATGTTGACTTCGAGTCAAGCCCAGCTCGACAGCTCTTCCAACATCAAGAAGTCCACACCCCCCTAGAATTTCCACAAAGTGAAGGCGAAACATCGAAGCCGGGCTAAATCAAGCAGCATATGCTCCATGGTTGACTACATCTCGCGAGCGCCCCCGGAACCCCAACTTCCTCACAGTGAAAGCGCACACTTGTGGCCGAACGTCCAGCCCTAGGCCGCCTTGAAGTAGTGCAGAAGCTTCAAGGCAGTCAGATCTCCCTGAGCCAGGAAGATGGGCTAGAGGTTTCGGGTTACCGCAAGCTCCGGAGAATGGAGGCTTTCAGAGAGGATTTGATGAGGGGAGAGGTTGGACTTTGGGCCGAAAGCTTGCCAAGTGGTGGGGGGCCACGGTGAGTGTAGTTTTTGCATGTGCTGCATGGCTACTCAGCCTGATCGAAAAAGTTGTTCTTGCTGGGACCCAGAGAACCCAATACACCTTAATTAAGGAATATACCTTAAATTATAGGGGCCTTAAAATTTATGATTTAAGGTACATTACTTAATTAAGGGGGTACTGGAGTCTCTGGGGACATCCTCCAGCCGCAAACCCCGCAGCAAGTTCCCAAGAGCAAGACTGGCCTCACCTATTCAAGTGACCACCACACACAGACGGGTCATGGCCGACCCTAACCCCAAGGGAACCTACCTTCTTAAGGACTTATATCTAGGACATTTTAACAGGTGGGAAGTTATCGTTATAGGAGCCTTATAGAAGGTCTATATACTTTATAGAAGCCTTATAGAAGCCTGTAGTTTCCTTTCATTATATCAAGAAACTAATAGAATCCCGAACCCCAAAAAGCTAGGTTCTTTAGAGTCCTGAACCCTATGGGCTGATGCCCTCAGCCGTGCTGTCTCCTAAGTTCCCCTCCCCCCCCCTAAATCCTAAACCGTAAATCCTAATCCCTAAATCCCACACCCCAAGTCTTAAATCCTAAACCCTAGATCCTAAACCCGAAGTCCTAAACCCTAAACCCTAAATTCCTAAATCCTAAACTCGAAGTCCTAAACCCCAAATCCTAAACCCTAAATACCCTAAACAATAAATCCTAAACACCCTAAGCTGTCTCCTAAGTCCCCCAGCGTGGGCGCGGGTTTGGCGGGGCCCGGCCTTGTAAGCGGCCCAGTGGGCTACGGAGCAGCCGTTCTTGTCACCTCCGCCGTGGGGGGTTTGAGGGGGTCCTTTAAGGGTTCCTTTAAGGGATCTATAGGGTTCTACAAGGGTTTAGGGTTTAGGGGGTTTAGGGTTTGGGGTTTAAGGGGTCCTTTAAGAGTTCCTTTAAGGGATCTATGGTTTAGGTTTAGGGGTTTAGGGCTTAGGGGTTTAAGGGTTGTGGGGGTTTATGGATTGAGGGGTTTAGGGGGATTGAGGGGTTTAAGGGTTTATGGGTTTAGGGGTTGAGGGTTTTAGGGGTTCAGAGTATCTCCAATCCCCCAAAGGAGGGAGATTTGCGTGGAAACTTCGAAGAACCCACGGGGTACTGAGCTTCCTGCTGTCTGCCATCATCTGAGCCTGGAAGTCGCTCCCCCGGTGCATCAGCAGCAGCATGCTGGGATAGGACCTGTGTGGAGAACTTCAGGGCTTCCGACTAGGACAGCTACTGGATACTGAATCCCTGCAAGTGTACATGCAAATCTTTTGAACCAAGGAGCCCTAAACCCTAAACCCTGTTGCCCCGTCCGTGAAACCAATGGGAGTCGGAGGCAGATGCTGGGGAGCGCACCGATGCTGCACCGCAATGGTCAAAGGCGTGGCGCCCAGTGAGTCCTTGGAAGCCAGAGAAGCCTGAGAGCAGGTGCTGTGCGGTCTGGAAATTCTTTTCTTTCCATGGATTTTGAAGGGAGGGACCCAGAGAACCCACTACCCCTTAATTAAGGAATATACCCTTAAATTATAGGGGCCTTGATATTTATGATTTAAGGTATATTCCTGAATTAAGGGGTACTGGAGTCTCTGGGTCCATGGCTTTTGAAGGGAGGGACAGCCGGATTGCACATCTGACGCTCCTCACGACGGCATCTTACATGAGGCTTGTAACATCGGGCAAGGGCACGTGATGGTCCCCGCACCGACACCGGCCAACGCCGACGTCAGCCGGAAACTGACAGAAGACGAAGGAAAAGTGTGACAAGACGAAGAATGGAGTGACAGCCTGATGACAAGATTGACAAGATGCTTGAGACCACCGTGCCGATATAGAACAAATGAAGAAATGTAAATACGGCCTGTTTTCTGTGTACCATATCTTAATTAATGCAGGACGCTTTAGTACTAGACTTACCAGTGTGAAACAAGTGTGGGCAGTGTTTGTGGCATCACGCGAGATGATGCTAGCGACCCGTTGCGCCTTGTAGTCCAGGAGCTGCCTGGCAACCACCACGTGACCGCGAAGCACGGCCCACCTTGGTGCTTTGACTTGCTTTTGGGGTTCAGTTAGCAGAAACTACAGGTGGGGAGCTTAGGGTATCTAGGGCTTCCATAACGCTTCTATAAGGTATATATAGACCTTCTATAAGGCTCCTATAACGGTAACCACCCACCTGAACATGTCCTAGGTTCAGTGCATCAGCCTTCATGGGAGCCAGACAAGCCTGCAACAAGGGAAGTTCTTGGCCCTGAATTTCACCTCCAGAATAGAAATACATTGGGAGTTTCCGGAAATAAGGGGTACCTTATGTTGGGGTCCTTATAATATGGATCCTACTATTTAGGGTACTTCTGGGGTCCCCTATTTTCGGAAACCCCCAAATGGGTGCCACAAATTGAGCGGTCTCCTGTCACAGTCCCCAAGAAAACCCAACCTACCCCTTAATTAAGGAATCGATGCCTTAAACAAGGCCCCTATATAATTTTTGGTATGGTCCTTAATTAAGGTGTAACTTGGGTTCTCTGACCCTCTAGTTTAAGGTATATTAAGGTATCTATTCCTTAGTTAAGGAATAGATACCTTAAGCCATAATACTATAGAAGGCCCCCTATAATTTCGGGTATCTACTCCTTAATTACGGGGTACTACTTGGGATCTCTGGGGCCCTCGTGCAAGCCAGGCGCATCAAGGGCGTCTGCTTGTTGTTTGCGCAGATGTCGACCTCGGCCCCCCCAGAGACTCCAAAAGCTCCTTACTAACGAGTATACCAGAAATTTATAGCAGGATCCCGTATATGATTAAGGTATATGCATGTATGTATGTGTGTGTATATATAATATATAATATATTATATATTCCTTAACTATTTTACATTATGATTCAGGATCCCTGATATATATATATATATGTATGTATATATATATATATGACTCAGGTATATATTCCTTAATTTAAGACGCTTTGGAGACTCTGGGGATTCATCCTTTCGGGTTTTCAGGGATTCGGCTGCTGCTTTTGGGGCGGGGGATCTATGCAGGCTAGGTTAGGGACTCGGTCTGTTCAGCGTGTCGGACGAGGATTTCCTGGCTTTGACCGAAAGCTGCCGTCGTCAGGAGCCATAAGGAATAGTAGTACGAATTACTCGGCTAGACTTGGTGCCTGCCATCCTGTCGACATCCTGCAATCACAGGGATGGCAGTTCGGGGCAGTAAGCAGCAAGCGTGCTGTAGACGTCCCATGCTAACAGCGGCTAAACTTCGTGGCCGAACTCAGCAAGTCTGAGCTTTCTGCGGGCGTGCTGTGCTCGAGACACGCTTGCACGAAGTCCTTCCGAGCGCAGAGGCTTCGGGGCTCCGGGGATTCCGGCTCTGTCTCAGCCCTGTCCTCGAGTAGACGAGAGGACATGCAGAGAAGCTCCGAGCAAGCCCAAAAAGAGACCCGCCAAACCCGCCGACGCCTTCTGGCCCACCAGCGCAGCCCAGTGGAGGAGGCTGTGGCCGTCCTTTTCGCCGTTCGGATCGGGTCCAAAGTTCTTCTGAAATTTGTGAGGTTTAAAAGTGGGGTTTTAATTTATTTTTGGTTTAGGGTTTAGGGGTTTTGGGGCCGACAGGGTTCATCCGGCGGGGGTGGGTAGGTACGCTTCCCCACCTCGTCAACAGCGGGCCACATCTCGGGGTTTGCCTGACAACGAGCAGGTGAAATCAAGGAGTTCCCCGAGTGCTGCTTTAGGTGTATTTTTAGGTGTAGGGTTTATGGGGCCAAGGGCCCCACATGGAATTAGAGTCAAGTCTTGGGGTATATTCAGCTAGACAGCGGAATTGACCTCTCAAGTTTGAGGTCTCCTGTGCCAGCCGCAGCCACTCGCAGGGTTCCGACTGCTTACCATGAAGGGTATGCTCGTGCATGATCGCCGCCGGCTGCCGGAGAAATCCACCCGACTCGTTTATCGCTGCTGTTTTTGTTATTCTTACGAAGTATCATGATTCGTATTGTTTCGTAACTAAGAATTAAGAACATTTCTTTATTGTGCTTGCTAGGAGTCCGAGCAGGCCTCGTCAGTCGGAGCGGCAGGGGTGAGTTCAGTGGATCGACACTATCCGGCGAGGCACTTTCTTCGCAGTAACCAGTGTAGCTTCAATCAGGCGAACCTTCAGGCAAAGAGAAGATGCCTACCCGGCAACAGCCCTAAACCCTAAACCGTAAACCCCTAAACCCTAAACCCTGAAGCCTAAATCCCTGGCCATTCCCAAAACTCCTGCCTGGAGAACATTTCGAGCTTCTTCCCAGTTCTGCTGCCTCCCAAGTAGACACAGGTTCCGGTCGAAATTTTCGGGTTTAGGGTTTAGGGTGAAAGGCACACGGCACACGCGGAAAGGACGGATAGTTCTGGATTCAGAAGGAGGCCAAATGTGTGCATTGAACCCAAATCTGTCCTACCCTCCCCAACACAACAGCCCCGATTCCCAAAGCTGTTTTGTGGGAAAGCTCTTATTTTCTCAGCAACTCCAAGCTTAAGATATCACGGTAAGTACGAGCTCAAAGCTGTAGTGAGTCATGCCGTGGGTTCTCCATGAGGCAATACACTGTGCATCGGATGATGATGCGAGCTGCTGTGAAATACGGCTGATGAGATAAATCCTGCAGTACCCAATAATCAGGAATAGACCATAATTAGTTCCCATTTTTTAGGGTCCCTTCAGGTAATGCTAAGGATTTATATCATCAACCCAAAACCCTAAAACCCTAAAACCCCCCTAAACCGTAATGACTAAGGAACAGGAACCCCAAGGACCCAGGAGACGGGGCCAAGTTTCAGGTCCCTTGTCGACTAGCGCCTGTCTCTGCTGTATTTCCATGCGGAGAAAGTACGGCGCGGCTCTGACAAATAGGACTATGATGATGATGATGATGATGGTTGTTGTTGTCGTTGTTAATACTATTGTTATCTTGTTACTGCACTCCTGCTTCTCTAACGCCGATGTTTAGGGCTGCTGGCAATATGGGAGGGTTCCTGGCATTCAGAGGTCTGCAGGATCAGCGCCGGTCAGCAATTTCTAAAGCAGGTCCCGGGTCACCTACATTTCTGCATCGCAGCTCGTTGCGACTGCTGCAGACCCAGAGAAACCAATACACCTTAATTCAGGAATATACCTTAAATCATAGGGGCCTTAATATTATGATTTAAGGTATATTCGCCAATTAAGGACTATATGCCTTAAATTATAGGGGCCTTTTAACATTATGGTTTAAGGTATCTATTCCTTAATTAAGGGGTACCTTGCGTTCTCTGGGGACGCCGACCTAAGCCTCGATTTTTTTACCCTGAAAATTTGGAGGCCCAAAGAATGGGGCGCGGGCCGAGCCAGCAGGAAGAGATGCTTGGTGGACGGGCCCTGGGATGAGATTCCAAACGGTGGGCCTATAGGTTCTGCTAAGGCTAAGGTGCTTCGGGTAGTCATAAGTGGAGTTATAAGTCCTGTAATATGGGTTATAGCTACAACTATAATTATACTACTTATAACCCTGCTTGAATCTACTCATGAGCCCCCAAGTACTGACTGACCACTCCAAAGCGCTCGGGTAGAGACGACGAGTTGTTGCTCGGTAGCTCTGGAGGCTTGAGTGTGTCTGAAAATGCTGCGCTATGGGGTTGAACTCTGTACTTGTCGGGTTTCTTCGCATGGCTTCATAGGGTGCGTGCATGGTTCAAACCTCGTTCATAGTGTCATAGGAGATGTGATTGAAACAAGGTCTGCAGACTCAACCAAAACGTCTGAGTCCTGGTCCCAAGATGCTACGAGTAACCAGTGGCCCTGTGACGCCACAAATCATCCGAGACCCTGCGCTATTCAGGGTCGCATCATAGCAGTTAGACGAACTCTCTAATGTAAAAGCCCCAAAAAATACTAATGTTATGCTTAGAGTTCTACTACAAAGAAGCCCAAAACCCTATTTCTAACTATTAAAGCCCCTCGAATAATTTACACGATGGCGAACTTATCTGAGTTCCCCTACGCTACCAGGGGCAAGACTGCCGAAGACGAATTTGCAACGAGGACCCTCCTTGCACACCCAAATTAGGGGGTATATGTTATGCCCCCCCCCCCCAATCAAGGGTCTTTAGGGTTTAGGGTTTGGGGTAAAGGGCCCCCCCAATCAAGGGTCTTTAGGGTTTAGGGTTTAGGGTATGTGACCCCAAATCAAGGGTATTATATGGTCCCAAATTAAGAATCTTTAGGGTTTAGGGCTTGGGTATATGGTCCCAAATTCAGGGTCTTTAGGGTCTTATAGAGGCTAGATGGAGGGTTTAGGAAGGAAAGGCTCTGCAGAAAGGTCTGTTGGAAGGTTATTTGGCACGTATCTCATTCACTAGCTAGCTCAGTGTGAACGGGTGTGTGTTTGTAAGAGAGGGGTAGCTGAACTACGGTGCAGGGTCCTGGCAGGGGCCCGAAAGCAAAACCATCTCCTAAGGCCTCCAAAGCACCCCTGGAGCCTAAACAACTGCTGATGATATAAATCCTGTACTCCCTTCAGGACCCTAAACTATGGGAATTCTGGCATGTTCCTTATTCTGGGTAATGCAGGTTTTTTTTTATCATCAGCCGTACTAGCACCCTAAAAGGCCCCAAACCCTAAACTCTAAACCCTAAACCCTAAAGTCTAAACCCTAAACCCCAAAGGCCCTAAACCCTAAACCCTAAAGGCCCTAAAGGGCCCTAAAGCCCAGAGGCCCCAAAGGTCCTAAACCCTAAAGGCCCTAAAAGGCCCTAAACGGCCCCAAAGGCCCTAAAGCTTCGCTTCCGCGCCTCGGGCTCTGTCGGTGCCGGCGCGGGGTCGGCCTGCCGCCGGCTCTGGGGCTGCTTCTTCGGGGTTTAGGGTTTTAGGGTGTTCTGGGTTTTAGGGTTTTGGGGTGTTCTGGGTTTTAGGGTTTAGGAAGTTTAGGGCTTTAGGGTTTTAGGGTTTAGGGTTTAGGGTTTTAGGGTTTTAGGGTTTAGGGGTGTTCTGGAAACCGAAAACCCTTTAGGGTTTTAGGGTTCAGGGATGTTTAGGTCTTCAGGGGTGTTCTGGGTTTTAGGGTTGAGGCTGCGATCTTGGGGGTGCTTAAACTAGAGGCCTTCATCGTGAGAACCACAAGCTTACTGTGGCCTGAGTAGGGGGGCAATCAGAAGGGCTTCTTCAAGGGCGCAAGTTAGGGTCCTTAACTATTAGAATCGGGCTTGGGGGTAGGTTATACTGTATCGTAGTTATATAGGGACTACAAAGGGATGTTAGGACTTGCATTTTGGGACCCTTGTATGAGGCTGTTGAAGCTGAGGGTTTGAAGTTTCGGGAAGCGGGGTTCAGGGCTGGGCTGATCCCGGTCATCGCAGGACCTCGGGGTTCGGAGTGCAGGAGGCAGAAAAAGGGTCTTTGGCATCTTGGCCCTTCACTTCCTTGCGGTCGGCTTGGCTTAGAGTTTCTCGCGGCAGGATTTCGAGGCCTCAACGTTTCACGAGTGTTGCCGAGCTTCCGACATGAGGCGACTCGAACACATCAGTTCACAAAGCTTGCACGTGCAGCAGGGGTACATCAAACCATGAAGCTGTGCTGCGGATGGGGTGGCTTGTAATGGGGAGAAGCCAAATGACTCCCAGCTGATGCTTTGCATGCTGTGGGACCAGGCGTCCTGGTCTTGGGGCCCTGGGGCAGGAATTCGAAGCTTTGTTACTACGATCTTCTCGTTCATGATGGTGCCAGATGAGAGAAGGGTAGTCTGGGTAGCCCTCATCGTGGCTATGCTTCCTTTCTTCTCGCTGCTGTTGCGCTGCAGCTTCTGCTGCTACTGTCTCAGCCACTGCCACTAGCGCCAGCACCTCGGCTGCTACTTCCACTTGCTGTATTGTCAGTTGCGAAAAGCTTCGCGGTGCGGATCTAGGGCTTAGGGCTTCGGGTCTCCGTCAGAAGGGCACAATGATGACAACATAATCAAGCCCTTCTACATCCCTTAAGTGTCTGTGGCAACTCTCTCGCTCCTCTCTCTCTCTCTCTCTCTCTCTCTCTCTCTCTCCCCAGAGAACCCTATACCCCCTAATTAAGGAATATACCTTACTTAAACCATCCTATTATAAGGCCCCTATAATTTAAGGCATTTTCCTTAAATTCTAGGGATCTTGGGTTCTCTGGGTCTCTGTCTCTCAAAATTCATAGAACTCTAAGAGCACCCAAAACCCTAAACTTTAAACCCTAAACTTTAAAACCCTAAACACTAAACCCTAAACTTTAAAACCCTTACCCGAACCCCTAAACTTTAAAGCCCTAAACTTTAAAACCCTAAGCCCGAACCTACACCCCAAAGAGCCTTGAAGCGCCTTCTAGCCGCGAGCCCGAGTAGATTTCGTTTAGGCCCGAAACGTCCCCTAGGAACCACCGAACACTCCAAAAAAGCCTTAAAGGTGCGAGGCAGTCCCCAAAACACAGATGAATACCAAAAAAAAGTCTGAAGTAGAGCTATTCAATCATTCGAGGTTTGGAGGTCGACCATTGCGCCATAGAAGAAATCGAGACGAACCCCTACATGGTCTGGGTTAGTAGAGCTACAAACTCCTAAAGGACTGACCCTTGCCTCGGCGCACTGCTGCGCAACGCCGCTGCCTGCGGATCGCCCCCGATGAGAAGAAGCGAACAGGAGC